ATTTTTATTCCATGTCATGTGACCGAGTATCAACCAATCACAGCATGCGTAACAGCAGTGAGATGTGATAAACGTCTCTAACTCGCTTCGCCTCGAGGATTCACATTGGCGGCCGCCCGGAGGAAAATGTGGGGGGGGGGGCAAATAAAAAAAATAATAATTTATTAACACCCTTTCAATTTGGATTTAGAAAAGAAAGGCGAACAACCGATGCCATCTTCGTTTTAAAAACAGCAGTAGACAAAACATTGTATGGTAAATTAAGCCAACCATCAAAAACATCTTTATAGTTGTTTTATTGACCTAAGGAAAGCATTTGACGATGTTTGGAAGGATGGCTTATACATGGAATTACAAAATTTAGGTGTTAACGGACATTTTTTACAATCTAATCAAATCTATGTACACAAACACTGAATATAAAGTTAAGCTGCCATCAGGTGTTACTGAGAGCTTTGAATCCACTTGTGGGATAAAACAAGGATGTAACCTGTCCCCAACATTATTCAATATCTTCCTAAATGACCTCCCTGGCATATTTGAGGACAATATATTTAACCCTGTATTAGTTAATGGTAATTCTTTAAGCTGTATTCAATATGCAACACTGCAGAAGGCCTACAAAATTGCCTTAATAAATTAATGAATTACTGCACTGAATGGAATCTCACTGTAAATACAAAGAAAACAAAGATTATGATCTTCAATAAAGGTAATCGTTTATTGAAATATAAAAACTTCAAAATAAATAATCGAAATATAAATTCAGTGAAAGAATTCAGGGAATTTTCACCCCAATGGAAAATCGAAGCTCAACAACAAAATGTTTAAAATAACTGAAAGCCATGAAAGCATTATTTACAATAAGAAACGCTATACTAAGTAATAAAATGATATCACCAACTATATGTATCAAAATGTTTGACCAACTTATATCGCCAATTTTAATGTACAGTTCTGAAATATGATCCTGTGAATTATTAAATGACAACAATGTCTTGAAACAGGTTTGTAGCTCATTTTATCGTTTTATTCTTGGCGTTAATAAAATGACACCCACAATAGGTATAAGTGGTGAGCTTGGCAGGTTTCCCATCAAAATTAAAGCAGATATTGCCACACAAAAATACTGGCACAGATTGAAATCTCTTCCAGAAAATCACATCCTTCAAGATGCATTAAAAGAATCAGAAAAAATAACACAAACTGGATTAAATATGTAAAAAATATTCTTGATGAATGTGAAAAATAGAAAACAACTGACAAAGGAATTACAATCACAGCTGACAGATACATATAAACAGACATGGGAAAAATCAAATTAGAAATAGCAAAGGCACAACTGGACAAGGTAACAAATTATAGTATTTTTTATAAAGAATTTGGAAAATTACTTAAAAATAATTACTTATTTTACTCAAAGGCAACGTCTGTCTAAATTTCGTTTGAGCGATAACAATTTAGGAATTGAATTAGGCAGAAGAACAACGCCAAAAACACAACTGGAGAAGAGAATATGTACAAGGTGTAATGACAATGAGATAGATAATGAAAAACACTTTATTTTGAAATGCACACACTTCAATAAAGAGAGAGAGGTATTATTTCGAGAGTGCAATGAAGACATTAAAAATACAAATAATAACACATACATCTTCTCTAAAATCAACAGTGAAAATAACAGTATACCTTTATCAAAATTTTTAAAAAGCACAATATTTAAGCCAAAATAATTAATCACTTCATCTATGGGAGGGGGGTTGGTGGGACTAAATTACTAGTACTTTATTTAGATTTTGTTTTAATTGTATTCATTCTAGTAATTATTTTTAACATTTATTTTTTAACTCAGTCTTTATTTTATTTTTATTATTGTATTTTCTATTACTGTATTGTATTGTATTGTGTTGTATTGTGCTTTTTGGTTCACGGGTAAAATAAAAGACGACCACGTAACATTACAA